TCTGGGTGCAGGGCGGGCGGCTGCTGTGGGCTGGGGCAGCCCCACGGCCAGGGCAGGGGAGGGGAGAAGGGGGCACCCTTCAGAGGGGCAGAGGAGTGACTGGGGGACCCCACTCTGCCATGGGTTGAGGTATGGGGAGAGGGGAGAAGCCCCCTCACTCAGCCCCAGTTTTCTGGGAGCAGCCACCTGTCCATCTATCTCTCTAATTGTCAGGGAGCGGATTTAGTGCCGGGTGGCTTGGGCTGGCCCCGGGTGACACTCGCAGATGGGACGAGCGCCATAAATCTGCCTGGCCCAGTGCTAACTCTCCAGCTAAATGAGGCCTGGCTGGGGGGGGGCCGGGGCTGCTAGCCTGGGGCCAGGCCGGTGCTTGGCTGGGGGGGGCAGATGGGGACATGTGGCTCTGCTAACAGAGTGACAATGAAATCAGGAGCCAGAAGGAATCGCTTAGTCCCCTCCATCACCTCCAACCTGCTCGTTGCCTGGCATCTCCCCTCCAACCTCCCTGCTATACACTTATCCCAAAATTCTCCCACCCCTTTTAGATGTGACCCCACAAACTGAGTCCCTCTCATCCCATCACTCCATTTCCCTGCAAAGAGCAAAGGGGCTATGCTGTGATGCAGGCAGCATTTGGGGTCCCTCCAGCCCCCCCCACATTTGATGGTGCAGGGACCTGGCAACAAGGCTCTGGCACTGAGGGGCTGCATCCATCTGTCTGTCCATCACTCACCCCAATCAGCCCAGCAACAACTTCAATGGCGCCGGTGCCCACGGTGGTGTAGGGGATCTGGGATACAGGGATCCCGGCCTTCTCAAAGATGGTGTTGGTGTAAAACCAGATCTGCCGAAGAGGGGACTTAGTGTGAGCCAGGGGGATAGAGCCACAGGGCATTTGATGAAATGAGTTTCCAGGACTCAGCTCAGCCTCTGCAGACCTAGGTCCCAGGGTGAGGACCCCGCAGGGCTTACAGCATCGATCCCTGAGAGCTGCATGCCGGCATTCACCACCACCACCGAGAGGGTTTGCCAGCGGACAGAGCGGTCCCGCAGCAGCTGCCAGACGGAGACCATCTCCACGGAGGAAAGTGACTGCTGCTCCTTCTTCATCTCCTCGATCACATTCTGCACGTCAGGTGTCCCCAGGAACCTGTGCAGTGCTGCAGGGAGAGTGGGAGTCACAGGCATGCGTCTCCCCATCACAGGTATGGCACAGGGCAGGGACTTGGCTCTGCCCTGGCTCGGCCGCCCCTGGGGACCTCCCTGACCCATGGGGCTGAGCATCCACAGGAACTGAGGAGGTGCCTCACACCATGGTGATGGGCACCATGGAAATCCTATGACCCAACTGGGTGGGACAGAAGGGCTGAACCATCAGGACTATGGTGGGCTGTCAGGTCTGGGTGTGGAAGGATGCTATGAGGAGGCACCTTGGTCTTCGGAGACCTTGGACCAGCGCCCAGCACCTCCCAGAGCAAATGTCCCCCAGGACATCCCCTCACCCTTGGTGGCCTCGCAGATGTCGTTCTTCTCTATCAGCAGGTACCGCGGGCTCTCGGGGAAGCAGTGCAGTAGCATGAGCTGGAGGGAGGCGGGAATGACCACCACCGAGAGGAAAAGAGGCCAGAACCGGTCCTGAGAGGAGTCAACGCAGGACGTGTCATGGGGACGGCAGAGCAGGGCGCAGCGCACATGGGCTGGGGTATTGTGCTCACCTTGCCCAGCAGCTCCGGGAGGCCCAGGACTTGTGCGAAGAAAACCCCCAGGCAGGTGAAGATGCTGGGCATGAGGCCCAGGAAACCCCGCAGGTTCTTGGGTGCCATTTCTCCCAGGTAGAGGGGCACCACGCTGAGACAGATACCTGGGGCAGACAGGAGGGACCGGGATGGGAGAGGCAGCAGGAAGAAGGGTGCCCAGCCAGACCATCGGTGCATCTCCTCCCATGCACAGCACCATCCACAGTGGGCACCCAATGGCCAGGCAGGTTGCGCTGCCTGAACCATGGAGACCTCCACTGCAGAGCCTGTGGCCATAGGCAATATGAAGTCTTCTCCATCCCCCTGTGAATAGGCTGTAGGGGACTGAGCTGTGAGGAAGGGGCCACGCACAGCCCCACAGCCCAGGCAGCACCTACCTGAGTGGAGCCCTGTGATGGAGCGGCCAATGATCACCATCTCGGGGGACCCCAGCTCCCGGCTGAAGCCCATGAAGCCACCGGCCATGAGGATGAAGAGAGCACTGCGGCTCAGCGTGCCATTCCTAGCAGGGCACAAGCAACAGGGCAGCCCCTCTGGCCCCATCTCATCCCTTGAGGACCCTGTCCCATGCCACCCCCTTACCTGCCATATCGCTCCACCAGCACTCCAACCAGCAAGGAGCCCACCAGCCCACCCAGGGCGAAGATGGAGACAGTCAGGGAGTAGAGGAGGGTCAGGGGGCCAGGGGCCAGCCCATGCCCATACCGCTGGGACCAAGTGGCATTGTAGAAAGCCTTTATGTGCTGCGAGGCAGAGAGAGACACACGGGCACCAAATGCATTGGGAGAAAGGGGAAGACAGGGAAGACAGGCCCCGTAGGGAAAATGCCACGGGTTTAACAGCATTGCAGGAGATGCAGGGCAGGACGTGACTGGGGATGACTAGGATGTGCTGGTCTGGTTGCTCAGCGAGCCTCAGCACCAGACAGGTTTAAGGACAACTTAGATATGCCACAGGCAGAATTGGAGCTGGAGCAAGGAGGTTGTGGGCAGCTTTCCCCAGCCCCCACCTTCTGGGGGGACCAGCCTGGGAGAAGTACATGAACCCAGGTTCCCATGTCCCTCCCATGCCATCCTTCTCCCCAGACTGCTTTCTGTGGGTGACTGCCCAAGGGAAATGCCACCATTTTGATGTGGGCCTGCTGGGTAACGGTACCTCCACCCTCCCAGGGAGGGACGCAGAGCCCTTCCCCTGCTCCTGGAGAGGCTGCCCATCCCTTACCACGGCCGGCGAGTTCACCACAGCCAGGTTGTAGCCATAGAGCATGGAGGAGCCAAAGGACACCAGGAGGGTGACCCACAGCAGGGGGAAAGTGAGGTGCTGGGAGAGAAGAGGAGGAATCAGCACAGCCCTAGCTGGCAGAACCGGGGGCCAAGGTCGCACGTGGCATGAGCCCCTTTTCCCGTTTGGATGGCCCTGGCCCAGAGCAAAGCCCAGGGCAAAGACCCCAACGTGACGGAGCCCTATGCTGAGCACCGTTTCATGCCACCACCCAGCACCCATCCAGGCTGCTCCAGCTTCCCCACGGCTGGTCTCATGGCTGTGGCGTGAGGCTTAACCCTGGCGCTGGCCCAGCTCAGGCTGCTTGCCCCAGCTGCCGGTCCCAGGCACCCCTGCCCCGGGGCTGGGTGGGGGCAGTGGGCAGAAAGGGGCAGGCAAAGGAGGGGGAGACACCCATCCCCTCCTGTAGATGGGGGCACCCAAATGGCACTGCTATGAGCTGCCCCACACATACCCCCCCCGCCTGGGAGGCCCGGCACCACTGAAAGGTGAAGTTCCCTGCGGCAGGTCCCAGCACTCCCAAAACACCGCACGCACCCACCTCCTAAACCCTGGCCCCACCTGCACCTCTGTCACCTGCTCGGGCTGCAGGAGGACCTCAC